TTGTCCAAAACAAACTCATAAATATAAACCTGTAAAATGTTGTTAAACATCTTTTAATGTCAACTTTTACTGCTTATAATGTTTTATACATATTTGCTGTTATTACTATGGAAATGTTTAATTTTACTTTTTAGATTTTAAATAAAAAGTAAGAATGAATCAATATTTATGTTTTTTTTTTTTTTTTTAACAAATCCTGTTTGCAGCCCATTAGATTTCACCAGTGGACCATCATGGCTTTGCCACAAGATTACACTTGGTTATTATTTATGAACGTTTTTTGAAGCGACTTTGAATAAAGAAAACATTTTCAATGGACATTGAGCAGAAAAAGGAGGTAAGAAAGGAAAAAAATAAAGGATGAAAGAAAAGGAGAGAAAGAGAGAGGGAGGAAGAATGAATGAAGGAGGCTTTTTGACTTTTTAACCACTTTATTTACACAATTGAAACAATAGAATCAATTATTGATGTAAAACAAGACAGTTAAAAATCACTATTAAGGTAAAAACAAGTGTCATCTTTAAAATCATTAAATGAGTAGTTTGTTAAATTGTAAATCTCCATCATCTGACACAGAACATAAAATGTTAAAACCCTAAAACTGAATAAAATCCTCCATGTTGTGAGTGGCTCTGTGGAAGTGAAACTCCATCTTTATTCTGGCTTTAATGTTGCACTTCCAGAGCCACAGCATCAAGGTGAGCTCCCTCCTGCTGTCTGTCTCTGCAGGACAATAAATGACCAACTTTGCTTCACTGATTAAAAAATTTAAAAGTCGGGCCTTCGGCTTCTTTTTCCAATTCTGGCAAACTCCTTGAAAAATAATGTTTGTAAAAACTGTCACAAAAAGACTAAAATCAATAATTAAAAGGCTAAAAATATAATAACCAATGTACATTGAGGGGTGGCCGAAAGGCGCCAGAACCTCAGGGTCAATCTACACTGTTTCAACAGGAACAAGCACAACATCAATATTTTCTAAATAAAGACAAACTATACTTCCTGCAGCCTTTGCTAACAAATAGATGCATATAATTAAACATGCTGTGTAAATAAAAGGTATATGTACTGGACAAAATTCTTTCAGGTTTGAGTTCTAGGGTGGAAATATTTTACATTGTCATTACCTACATTTATCAAAGATCATTCTGCAAAAAAATTATATTTAAATATACTAATATCCACATTTAATGAATTTTTAAAGCTACAGTGTGTAATAATTACAGGGATATGCAGTCAGAAATGTACGGAAGAGGATTAGGGCCACTGAAAAAAAAAAAAAGTAAACTGATTTTTAAATTTTATTTCAGTTTAAGA